AATCTTACTGGCTCTGTATGTTTATTTGGCTGTATATAAAAGTTAAAATTGTAAGCAAAAATGACACTAAACTAATAAAACTAAACTTAAAAAAAAAAATAAAAATAAAAAATCAACAAAGCAAGCAAATGTCATGCAGCCAAAATGACAGAAGTGAAGAGACCAGTAGCAGATGTAAAGATTTTCAAACCCGAGTCTGACATTTGTGGAGGGGAATTCAGGTTACAACTAAAGAGTTAGGAAAAGTTGATTAAAGTGAATTAAAGTTTGTTAAACTCATTGGTTCAAATGTTACTCTAATCGGATATACTGTAATGTAAAGAAATACAGTGCATAATAAATGCATGACTATAAATTACGCTAATGGCAAGCAAGAGAGGTCTGGTCTCTGTTGGAGACAATAGTAACTTTAGCGACCATACAATGACCACAGTATTTTAACTAGCAAATAAAAAAAAAAAGAAATTAGTCTTGGTATTACCTTGCTTATCCTTCAGATACGATGTTGAATTGACTCTGTTGGTGAAGCAGTCCAGGGTAAAATAGATTTTACGTATATATAATACCAAATATATATTTACCCAAATAAATAATACTTTACTAACACAATTTAGTACATTTCCTTAACAAAATACAAATAAATCACAATTCAATTTTACTTAACAATAATTATCTTTCACAAAATAGACACAGCATTACATTACAGTCAAAATCAGAAAAGTTAAGGAGTTTTGTAAAGGGTGGGCAGTATAGTTAAGCTGCAGTTATACAGTATTCTATAGCGTCCTTCCAAAAAGGTGAGGCCTATTCGCTTGTTAAGTGTGACATCATGAGAAGTGGCTTCCAGGTCCAAGCGCTCTATCAAACTGAATGGGGAGGCTCATCAAATGGTTTATGTAATAGTACTGTATATCCATGCCTAATATCTGATGGCCAGAAAGTGATTCATTTTTCAGAAATTGTTAAGATATTGGTGTTTGTGATGCAGGAAAACGGTTGTGTACGCCATGATTTTATTTAAAATTCACTTTAATGTGTGATATGGCTAAAAAGTGCTCATAAACAAGTATTTTCAGGTTAATGATGATGATGTAACTATTATTCGACCCCAAACAACGACACTTTAGTGAAAATAAGAATTTGAATAATTAATATTAATGAATATTACACCTGCTCAATGAAAATCTGATGATTCTCTGCATTAATAAATCTGACATAACTTGATCAGAAATCTAAAAAGAGGAGAAAAGGTTTAAGCCATCAACAGAAAGGTATATTGTGTTTAAAAGAGTCTTGCAGATACTGTACCATAGAAGTCAGTGCAATACTTTTTTTTTTCAAACGCACCAGCATAACAGCGTCACTGTGATCCAGTGGTCAGCACGTCGCTGACCAGAATTCAAACCTTACCTGAGTAATTTTTTTTTTTTTTTTTTGTGTTAAGACATATAATACTGTTTTGATTACTTTTGTAGGTGTACATGTTTTATTTTAATTTTTTGTGTGACCACTGTTATAAAGGACTGTATATCGATAAAAATGTCGAATTTTGCACTGAATATATATTCAGATATTGCAGGAAAAGACATTGTGATGTTTTAAAGCAGGGGTCACCAATCCTGGTCCTGAAGGGCAGGTGTCCCTGCGGAGTTTAGCTCCATCCTACCTCAACACACCTGCCTGGATGTTTCAAGTATACCTAGTAAGACCTTGATTAGCTAGTTCAGGTGTGTTTGATTAGAGTTGGAGCTAAAATCTGCAGGACACCGGCCCTCCAGGAACAAGTTTGGTGACCCCTGTTTTAAAGAATAGTGTTGGAGATTTAGCTACCCTTTAATGTTCTTATATTTATGAAAAACACTTAAAATTCTAAAGCAGATGTTTCCTTGAAAAAAACTTAATTGTGTCTATAGAAACTGAGTCAGTCAGTCGTGAACTGAGGTGGGCCGGTCTAAGGCTTAAAACTCCAGGGCTAAAAAAGGAGTCCTACTCCAGCCCTGCTCAGGTAGTTACAGAAATGGCAGATTAATAGGTCACACTTTATTTTGATGGTCTGTTTGTTGAATTTAAGTTAAATTGCATCTACATGGCAACTAATTCTTATTAGATTATAAGACTGATAGGTTGGGGCGAGTTTCTTATAGTCAGTTAAATGTCTGTTGAAGAAGCAGTATCAACAGATATTAAGCATACAGTTTACTCATACTCAAATGGACCATCAAAATAAAGTGTTACTGATTAAAATAATATAATATCCCCTTCCTATGTCACTAGAAGAGCAAAATCTGAGCAGCTCTTTTTTTAAACAGATGTTTGCAATAAAAACAAAATTTTTCACATTTGCTTGCATGGTGCAGAAGATGTCTCTATAAGAAGTCTTATAATAGTTTTTCTAAGCAGCAATGATTTATACATCAAAGCTAATGCTACTACAGAACATTAGCATACTGCAACTAGCTGCACTACATTGTCGAATATCGTACTGCACTGTACAAAGCTGTTATGGATGTGAATGTGATTTAGGAACGCGCCGTTGTTCTAACAGAAAATGACGGCAACTGTAAAAGGAGTTTTATGCTAATTATGTTTCATCAGGTCGTGATTGTGGGTAAAGCAGCTGTGATCCCATCAGCTCAGCGTGTCTGTTGTGTTGAGCTCAATCTCCCGGTTCTCAGTCTATTCTCTGACCACGCTGGAATCAGCGTGTGTGGAGTTTATGACGTGCACATCATATCGCTGCCCCCACTGAGATCATACTGTTTATTTCAAGAGCAGGGTCCTACCAAGGGCGGACTACACAGTCAGTGAAAAATGAAGAATAATATAGAAAAGAAAATGACGAAGGGGCTCTAAGTTACTGAAGTCAATGCCTAAAACTGTATCTACTATATTTTATATTCAATTGCCATCTGTAGATGTGTCATCACTAACATGGAATGCTAGCCATTCACATCAGCTAATTGATAATTGTTAACATTTAACAAATGACCTATTACTTCAGTTGGAGACCTTTTGACTTTTCTGCATGGCTTCAAATGCAAACCTTTTAAGTTTTTGTTGTTGTTTTTTTATATATATAATACTTTTCATATAGGTTTGTCCCAAGTGGAGTCGTTTTTCTTGGATTTCTTAAGTCATTTCTAAAATACCTGCCTATTACTTAAAGTCAGCATGGTATTGAAGTTGTGCAAGTGCAATTGTAATGTACATCTAAATGAAACAGTACTAAAATGAGAAAAAATGACCAAAGTTGACATAAGTATAGAAAACCAATTGGATATTTGGAAGATGGGCATTGCTACAAAATAGAGGACGCAGGACAGAAATTGATAAAAGCAGGGCAGAAACAAGACAAGCACTAATAGCCCCACAATAAAGGTGTTCCATGTGACCAGAAGTTATGAAATAATGGATTACCCCCCCAACCCCCTCAGTAATGTTTTTATTATTGTTTTATAATTAATTAATATTATTTGCAAAGTAGCATACGTTTGAAAAAGTTGTAATTAAAGTGTAGCTTATTAAAATGATTAGCTATTATACAGAATCAAGTTATCAAATCTCATTAACCTTTACTTCACTGTAAACATTCTCATTTAAAGAGCAGCGAATAAATCTTTCATTTAGATTTTTTTATTTGATCACATTAAATAACAGAGGAATCACTTTAAAAATGCACACATCTAGTATTTAATCATTCAATTGTTTTCCTAATTTTTATGCTTATTTAAGACAAAATTTGTTTAGTTTAAAAGAAAATCCAGCTAGATCGACATGTTTAGATATTGTTATTAGTAGGTATACAGTATATGTCTGTTTAAACATGCACCTAAAACCCAGAGCGTTCACTTTCGCTCCACTTCAAATCGCGTGTACAGAATCCATTAAGGAATCAGCGTCTATTTATCACTATGGAGCACGTCTGACAGTGACGCACTGCTACATGAACTGACTGTTTTGAGGATTGCAGAAGGGGCAACGACACCTGTAATAGAAAGGAAGAGAATCCCGCAGTTTTTATATTTATTTTAGTGTTGTCATGCCTAAATAAAATGAAAGCACAGAAAAGATTTACATTTAAGAGCAAAGGGTGTCCCCTCGTGGTTCGGCGGTATGGGTTGCGTATAGGGAGGATCGTCTCTTTAATGTTTATAGCCACCCTTCATAGAAAGAAAAAAAATGCGGGAGAGATACGGGAAAATACCTGTACGAGATGATAACGGGACACAATTGTAAAATACGGGAGAATCTCAGGGGAAACGGAAGGGTTTGCCAGAGGTAAAGAAAAGTTGTTTTAAGGGGGAAGGAAGGTCATGGTATTGGTTCCAAGCCATGTTCTGTTTTAAAAAATAATGAAGTGTACAGATCAATCTTTTATAGCAAGCACTACTGTATACATATACAAATATAAAGAGTTTATTTTGATTCCATGCAAACTTAAACTGAAATATTTCCTTTTACCCTGTGGCATTTTATATCTGTTTAATCTTGTCAATCACCCCAACTCAATTTTTTTTCATCCTTTACATTTACATAGGCTTTTCTGGACACTCACAGCGCGTTACACATTTTTGGGAGGAATCTTGTCATCCACCACCAGTGTGTAGCATCCGCATAGATGTTGTGGCGGCAGCCAAATTGCACCAGATCGCACACCACACACCAGCTTAATGGGTGGAGTGGAGACATGATGAAGCCAATTATGATATGGAGAGGGTTAGGAGGCCATGATAGACAGAGGCCAGTGGGCAAATTTGGCCAAGATGAAAGATCAAACTGAGCAGTTATGAGTCCCCATCAATATACTGTACGATGGCATTAGGGCCCATAGGTTGAGCACCCCCTACTTATCTAACTAACACCACTTCCGGCAGCAACCTAGCTTTCTCATGTGGTCTCCTATTCAGGTACTGAACAAGAGAGCTAGAGAGCTAACCGCCATAGCAACTTCTATGCAGTATTTCACCAGAAATAATAATTAAAAAAGACTAATCAAAACATTTTTTTACTATTTGCATGTGACAAAATATTTTATTCACTGTTTTGATTTGTTAATGTAGATGAAATTTTACATTACATTCCTTTTACAGAGATACAGATATACAGAACAAACAGTAAAAGCACAAAATAATGAACTGTTTAGATGCTATTTTTTATGGCAGTTGTAAACTTAAAGCGTCAACACACAGTGAGAACATTTCATGAGCACAATTTGTTGCTAATTTAATTTGGTATTGTTCAGTAGATATCCTTTGCAAGTTTCAGTAAATTATGAAAACAGCATAGTAACAGAGACACATTCCGACCTGTAGAAAACAATAGTTAAAACCCTGTTTACCATATTGCTAATGACTTTTACAGTAACAACTACTCAAAATGAGTTTGAAAAGTACATGACGATTGTAAATAATGGATCAACGTACTAACACATAAGATATGGCTATATACTGAAGCAATATACTAAATGTCTTATATTGGTACATTCTGATATAATGATGTGATTATTTGGATTATAGAAATAAATTTGAATGGAATATTGAAAAAAACTTATATAGATCAAGACATCTGCCTGAATCAGTGTATAATATAAGCTGACCAGTGCAATGGCATTTTGAAGCTGAATCCACTAGATCAACAGTGGCTGTTATGATGGGCATTACTGCAGTAACGATACTTTAAAAATAGCTGAGAGAATATATACAAATATTGTGTCCAACATTTCTGTAAAATGCAACCTTCAGTAAGCATCCTTCAATCTGCCAGCTTTATTTGCACTCTCAGATCATCATTTAGATTTAAAACACTCCAGCCCACTCCATTTCACATCAATTCACATGGCCAGGCATTTTCTAGCTGCTTCTAAGTGCTTTCTGGGACCATTAGGGAAAATCATTTTCTTAGGTTTAACAAGTGATGCAAAAATGTTATTCATATTAAAATAGTATATTCATTTAACGCCGATTTCAGGAAATCTAGCTTCTTTAAAAGCTTTTTTGTTAGGTTACATCTGTCTTATTCATCAACAAGCCTGTCAGATCAGATTGCCACAGAAATATATATATATATATATATATATATACACACACACACACACACACACACACACACACACATATGGCAATGTATGCAACATACTGTATATCTTATCAACTTATCAATTCAAAAAAAGTTGTAAGAGCAAAAAATAATAACTTGACTTAGTTGATAATTTGGAAAAGTGACAGAAGGTAGATTTTTTCAGATGAATCTTCTGTTGAACTGCATCCCAATTCTTACAAATACTGCATCAGACCTATTGGAACTCGCATGGACCCAAGACTTTCTCAGAAATCAGTCAAGTTTGGTAAAGGAAAAATCATAGTTTGGGGTAACATTCAGTATGGGGGAGTGCGAGAGATCTGCAGAGTGGATAGCAACATCAGCAGCCCGAGGGATCAAGACATTTGTGCTGCCCATTACATTACAAACCACAGAAGAGGGCAAAATCTTCAGCAGAATATCGCTCCTCATATTTCAGCATAAGTCAGCCTGAAAGCAAGGTCAAGGTGCTCTAGGATTGGCCAGCCCAGTCCCCAGAAATAAACACTATTGAGAATGCCTAGGGTAAGATGGAGGAGGCATTGAAGATTAATCTGAAGAATCTTGATGAACTCTAGGAGTCCTGCAAGACGCTTTCTTTGCCATTCCAGATGACTTATTAACAAGTTATTTGAGTCATTGCAGAGATGTATGGATGCAGTCCTCCAAGCTCATGGGAGTCATACACAATATTAATTCCTTTTCTACTCAAGCATGATTTTTATAGTCTATGCTGTACATCATTTCTGTTAAGTGACAAGACTTTTGTCTAAGCAAAGTCAGACCTTACTGTCCTATACAAATAATTGTATTTGAGTAAAATCTAGAGGGCTTTGCCTTTCATATAAGTCACTTCTGATACCAAATGATCAACTAAAATTCAAGTTATTATTTGTTGTTCCTACAACTTGGATAGGCTACAAGACTTTTGTGAGGTTCGAAATACAAGTTCATATTTGGATTTTACGTCTAAAATATGTAATTTATAAAACATATATTTCAAAATATTGCATAATGTCAGTTTAATATATTTGTTTCAACCACTATATTTATAATTATGTAGATATATGTTCAGATATATTAGCTATGATGTTATATTTGAGTTCATACATGGCCAATAATAGAAATCAAGTGTAATTATATATATTTAAACATATTTGTACATAAAACATTCATGTGTAACTTGTGTGTCATGTGTCATTTGAATTTTTTCCATCTATCAGATTTTTGTATGGAAATTGAAGAGCTGTGTACCCCTTCTGCATAAATAATACAAAAACATGACTGGTTTACCTTTGGTTTCATTACTTTTCACATTTGACATGCTTCAAAACATTACAATGCAATAATATACAGTTGATCAAGCCGATTAAAAAGCTACCTAAGTGTTCAAGTTTCACGTGTCGGAAAAAAAAAGCGAGAGCACGAGAGGTGAAAAGGAAGGGTTTTAGCGTATGGTCTGTTGTGAGAGACAAGGTTGTTATTCTGGCTCCTGCATGCTGTAAACTGCATTATGACAAGGACAACAGAAGGCAGGCAGTGAGGCGTCCAGAGCTTCTCCACTTCCTGCAAACGGGGACGCCACCTCTCTGTCACAACCACATCAAAGCATCTGAGAAAAGACGAGGGCATTACAGCAAAATGGGATAAACTGCTGAGGGAAATCCAACACCATGAGGATCAGCTGCTAACAGACTGCAGAGATTTTAAGTACCTCGGATAATACAGTTGTCAGAGGCTCAAGAGGTCAGAATGGGCAATCATTGGTCATTCAACCCTAAACCCAAGGAGATCAAACCGTGCATTTGCAAGTTCAGCTTTAATCAAGCATCCGTGATGGGATCAAGCACGCTGCAAAGCCGTCCATTCACGCTAAAGCTATAGACCTTTGTAAACATACATCTGTTGTGCATACTGTTCTGTAAAAATACAGTACTTTCATTGAAAACTGTGTATTTGTTTATACTAATTTAGCTTCACTTCATAAATTTTTGGAGGAAAAGCAGAGTATTTTGCTAAAAGATTTAGCACTTATGTTATTCTAGTTTGGTGAAGGATGTTGACTGTTGTTGAAGCAACATAGAAATTTATGAAGTTTCGCAATCCAGCACTCAAATTTGGATAAAATATGGACAATCTACCCAGTGTATTTAGACCAAAAAAAAAAAAAAAAATATATATATATATATATATATATATATATATATATATATATATTTATTTATTTATTTATATATATATATATATATATATATTTATTTATTTATTTATATATATATACAGGCCTATAATTTTGTGATAATGTGCCTATATTTGTCTAAACCTCAGTTAAAAAAAAAGGTAACACTTCACAATAACGTTACATGAATAATGGTGTACTTATACGTAAACTAAACATTACTTTATTATAAATTAATGATGAATTTAGGTGCACGCTAATCATGAACTTACTTTAACTACAACATGAGTAATATGTGAATAATGGCTACCTTAATTACTTGTTAGTTTGTGTCGTTAATTAATGTATTAATTAACATTTATGTTAAAGCTAAATGTAACCACTATGAACTCATGAGCTGCTAATGTATAATTATGTCATGACTTTACTTCAAGGGGCACATCACCATTAACTCATCCTTAAACGCACTAGAAGGACATTCATAGGAAGTTCATGAGTAGTTAAGAATGGGGTAATGGTGATGTGCTCTTCCAAGTAAAGTCATGATATAGTTATACATTAACATGTCACGTGTTTACGATGGTTAAATTACCCATAAAGATGTTATTAATACATAAGGTTATTAATGTTATGTAATTAAAACTAAGGAAGTTAATATACAAGGAAATCAATGTAATGTAATGTAATGTTATTAAAACTAAGGTAATTAATACATAAGCTAACAAACAAGCATGTACTAACAAGTATTAAGGTAGCTGTTATTCATATATATATATATATATATATATATATATATATATATATATATATATATATATATATATATATATATATATATATATATATATATAAAACTCTTGTGACTTGTTGTAGTTAGTTCATGAATAGCACTTGCATTAACTCATCGTTAGTCCACATTAAAGAAATGTTTAGTTTATATGTTAACACATCATTATTCATGTACTTATTGAAAAGTGTTACCCAAAAATCAGATCATAACACATTTAAAAGATTTTTATTTACGTTTTTCTAAAACTAGTTTCAAAGTGCAGGTTTTAATTTTTTTTTTTCTCTCTGAAAACAAGGACGTCAAGCTCATGTATTTAGAAGGTTAGTTCATCCAAAAAATTTAAATTATCCCATGATTTACTCACCCTCAAGGTATCCTAGGTGTATCTGACAATATATGACAATAAAGTCCAATCTGAGTTACTATAACAATTATATTATATACATTTTTTTATTATATCAAATGATATACTACTAATAAAGGAACTAAGCCGAAAAGTGAATGAATGATATACTAATATGGCAAACAATTGGCTGATTTTTAATCAGCAGTCCAAAGTCCAGTTCATTCATAATAAATGAAGTTCCTCCAGGCGGTGTATATAGGTTTATATAAGTGAATCCATGTATTTTTGAAAGAAACATATCTATAACTTTTTTAGAACTGTTTTGTGTAACTTCCAGTGACTTCTTTTTTTTGAAGTACTTTTGCATTAGCGCCACCAGATGGACTGCATTGTGTTTTTTTTTCTATCACTTGAGTGTGAAATTCATGCACAGTTGAAATAAACATGAAAAAGCAGTGAAAAGAGATTACTTTTGGACTGCCGTCTATTGCCATAGTAGAGCTAGAAAAGCTCAAGACCGTTTTCAAAATAACAGAGCAGATTCAACTTAAAGACAAAAGTCTGATGCACCTAGGTTGCCTTGTGGGTGATTAAAGGCTGGTTTATACTACTGTGTCAGGTGATCAGTGCGACCAATGGCGCCTGCCTTGCACATAGTTGTGTATTTATACTTCAGCGTGCTGTTTGTGTTGCTCTGCAATAACACTTCCGAAACGCTAGCTAGCAGTAGGTTTTTATGCTCCCCTATGTCAAGTTTCTTCACAGGTGTTTTTTCTGAACGCTACCTTAATGTGCAAGTAGCTAAAACTCGCTCATTCAGAGGTGGAAACTGGCAGACGTGCAACAACTTTAATCTTAAGATAAGCACAGAACAACATATTCCATCTAGAGCTCCTTAACGGGACTCAACACATGTAAACACTCTCCAACGGGATTGCGCAGCTCTTGGTTCTGCCCACACTGGTCACAGCTACTAATCCAACCAATCACAAAGCTTGTGCTATGCGTTGTTGAAACATGCAGTTATTTTTTTAAAGAGGTGCACGTCAGCTACGGCGAGGGCTATGTGACCTCGTCTGAGCATACATGCATACAAAAACTAGCAGGCTGTAGGTTTTTGTGTTCCTCTATATCAAGTTTCATTGCAGTTGTTTTGTATTTTTCTGAATGCTACAAGAAGCTAAATCGCACTCATTCAGCGGTGAGAACTAGCAGACACGTGCAACAATTTTAATCATAAGGCAAACACAAACCAACAGTTTCCATCTGGAGCTCCTTCACAGGATTCGACACTAGTAAACAATCGCTCCATTGGGCTCTTGGCTCTCAGCACCACCCACACTCGTTACTGCTACCAAGCCGACCAATCACAGAGCTTCCGCTACATGTCATTGCGACATGTAGTAACATTTTCTGAAAGATGCACGTCAGCCATGGCGAGGGCTATGCCACTGCATGAAGGTTGTGCCAGAGCATACACACACACGCTAGACGCAGAAGTGCAAATCAGCTTTCAATCATGGGATAATTTTATATTATTGGGTAAACTAACCCTTTAAAGTTCAATCTATATGCATGTGCAAGTACTAGACAACTATGGCAGATCACAGAACTGAATGTGCGCTTTTCTGTGATAATGTCCTGGCATTTGACATTATCGACTGTATGCAAAACTTCATATAGCATACTGTTTCCTTTATATAGCACATTGCTGTGTGAACACACCTGAAGTCCAATCTATTCAACATATTAAATACTATAGCTTTCATTGTCTTAGCATTATATTTAAAGTATTTACAAGCTTATTTCTGATTAAAAACGCCAGCATTTAACAGTGTACGGTCACTTTTAGCTACTTTTCTGACAATCTAATCTAAATTTTTAAATGTTTTTTAATAAATAAACCAAAAGCTTGGAAAACTTTTAAAGCCACCAGCACAATTTGTAATCAACTTATCTTTACCGACTGTAGACATTCTTCTTTATCCTCTAAGAGAAAACTGTCTTTGTTGCAGGCTAACAACATGCAAAAAAGTATAATAGATAAATGTCATCAAGTGTCAGATGAATTAAATGAATAAAAGATTATGAGAACTGAAACATTCGCAAGACCACAGGTAATGTTTTGGGAGACAATGTTCAAATTTCTAATGTAGGTATGCTGTACGTTCATTGCACATGGCCCAAAACAAGCATGCTACCTCTGTCATTATGTAAAAGGAATGCAATAGTTGCTTTAAGTGCCTATTTAGTTTGTAGGGAAAAAAGAAATGGATGCAACCCTGTTCTGTACATACAGTATAACTCTATATTGTTGTCTATGCTGTTCCTATTGTTATGTCAAGATATTTTCACTCACCATACATGAGAAACATGTACATGACTAAGCACAGACCAGTATTTGCTGAAAAATTATGTCATTTCAAGCAGATACTCGATTGATTTCAACGTTGTGGTACCGTGAACGCTAGATTAATAGACAGTGTACCCATAAAAATATAAAAATACATCATATTTACCACATAATTCTTTTATACACACTGCTGATAAGATGATGGCAGTAGGATACAAAAGCACAGCTAGCGGGTATGAATTGTCTGTCTAATTTGCACAGCTGCAAATTGCCCAGTGTCCAATCACAGGCCCATTGTGAGTTCCTGTCATATCTCAATAGAAGCTTCATCGCCTGGTCTCTGTTTGATGGAGCCAGAGATGGTGTAGAACCTAGGAAAAACAAGACATCTGCATTCAGTACTCTGCTGTCAATCATGTTTTGTTGTTGTTGTTTGCTTGTACAGTAAGTCTCCAATCAAGTCTTGCCAATAAAGGTTTAAAAAAAGTTGACTATATGAATTCTGAGGCAGAATGATAATAAACATGTAAATGCATCACAGTCCTGCAGCATACTGACAGCATCGTGTTTTGTTTTTACATTCAGATTTTATGAACTGTGGAAAACCATATGAATCTCAAATCTGTAAAACTAAAAACTATATATTCATATTAGCATTATGTTCCTTAAGTTAAAGGGCACCTATTTTACCCCTTTATCATGATTTAAGACAAAGTCTTTTGTGTGTCTAGAATGTGTCTGTAAAGTTTCAACTCAAAACATCCATCAGATTACTTATTATACCTTTCAAAACATTCGAATTTTCTGCTCGTTTTGCAATGTAGCTTTTTTTGTTGACTGTGCATTTAAATCAGGGGTCACCAATCCTGGTCCTGGAGGGCCGGTGTCCCTGCAGGGTTTAACTCCAACTTGCGTCAACACACCTGCCTGGATGTTTCAAGTATGCCAAGTAGGAGCTTGATTAGCTTGTTCAGGTATGTTTGATTAGGGTTGAAACAAAAATCTGCAGGACACCGGCCCTCCAGGAACAAGTTTGGTGACCACTGATTTAAATGCTAGTTCTACCCACCGTTCCCACGTGCCTGTGAGAGTGTCTCTATCTCTGTGAGTTAAACAGCACAGTGACAGACATGAAGGAAGCAGATCTTACGTAAAGTTTGGGAGAAATACTACAATTAGAACTTTTCCAATAAGTATTTGATGTATGTGTTGAGGAGTTATCCCTTAGGGGTCAAAGAACGCATATCTGCATATACAGTATATAGGCATGGCCAATATGGGCAATCGTCCAGGGTGGCATCTTGCTGGGGGCACTGAGATACCATTTACTTTATGCAAGTGTATTAATTTAGAGTGGTAATCCCAGAATGAAGAGGTTAGGGGTCATTCACATTTGGCATCTGTTGTTCAACGCTGGTGAAAGCAAACTGGCGCTTGCTCCCCATTCAAACGCGCATCATGCGCTCCTGTGTTAATCCCAGTTGTTTGCATGCACGCGATAAAATACGCGCCGCTCATGCGCAGTGAAACCGGAGTAACAGCCTTTTATGCAGAACTTTCGGCACGCAGTGAGTTGTACAAGTCAAAAAAACTAAATTGTATGTAATATGATGACTTTACTTTCACTAAGCATGGCTATAAAGCAGAAGGAGAGATAAAGGGTCAGGGAGGTAAGACTTCATAACCTTAATTCTCGGCCATGAGTCAGGTCTAAGACAACAGATAATTCTATAAAACAATATTTTTTTTTTTGTATTGTAATAATAAATATTCATGCAAAAGATTTCTTAAGTAATCTTAGCATATGAATCCAGTTGTTACATTGTTTTTATTTATTTAGAATAATAATTGTATAATCATATTATAAATAGTTATATTTAAAATAAATGTAAATAAATTGTTTGAGTGGGGTGTTGGGGCTTGTATGGGGTGGTTCGCCAAGGGTGCCATTTAAACTAGAACCGCTACTGTACGTTACCACGAAGACATGTTAATCCGCGGCTGTCAATCGACTCGGTGGGTGGGTAAAGCCCACTCCTACATCACATTGTGGTGGACCTCAAAATGGGAGGGATTTGGATCCTATTTTAAGGTCAGGAAATAAAAAAAACTTATTGTCTTAATATCAAATATTATACCCCAATATGACTGTGGACAAACTATACCAACACACTTCTGTCCAAACAGCTAACAAAAGTTGATTTTCATCATAAGTGCCCTTTTAAATTACATCCTAACTTTTGAACTGTGAAGGAAAAACTATGCAAAACTATAGTTACTGTACACATTTACTGCCAGCAGCAAATGGAATGGCAAAACCTTGACTGTACAAAATGTCTTTAAAACAGTGTCTTAACACATGAAACAAGACGGAAACAATGCAGCACAGCCGAAAAGTTTAAAAATCCACCCACAATGAAACACATATTTGCATATTTCATAATATGACACAAGATTTAGCACAAAGGATCAATGTATGAACATGTCTACGTCTTAAGTACGTGTCTTAAATACATGTCTTACTGTAAGTAACCTAAAACTAAGAAAATGCATCTAGTACTATATGTCTATTGTATAATCTGACTTTTGCAAAAAGTTAAGTAAATGTATTTGTCTCTCTCTCTCTCCCTGTTATTTTCCATCCTGTACATTTTGTAATATTTTTCACATAGTTTGCCAGTTTCTGTACTGACATTTTCATAATATTTATTATATATAATTTTTCTTCTTGAGAAGTCTTCTTTCATAACATAAATAACCTAGCTAAGCCTTTAAATCACACTTTAAGTTAAATACGAGCATCTTGCAGAATATTAGTAAAATATTACACACACACACACACACACACACACACACACACACACGCACACGCACACACATAGCAGTAATAAAAAAGGTGCACTGTACATACCTTGAGGTCTTGGATGGTTTCTTTTTTCTCCAAGCTTGAAAACAGCATGATTTTACACACTTCTTTTTACAGTCAATGACCTGATATATGATCGGATTGTACATGGCAGAGGATTTGGCCAGCAAAGTTGGCACAACAGAGACAGGAATAGGCACTGAATCAGGCTCTCCAAAAGCAGACATCACTGACACCACAGCATACGGGATCCAGGCTATCAAAAACCCTGCACAGATCAACATCGCCACCTGGAGAACAAAAGTAGAACTACATCAAATATGACGCTGATATTTCCACACAGCATTTCTGATTAATAAAACATGCAAACCTTAGTCAGCTTCATCTCTAGACTGTGGTTGTTCTTATTTCGTGTGTCGAAGTGAGAGACTTCTTTGGCTGAGGATTTCACCTTGAAGATGATCATGACGTAGGAGAAGACGATGATGACGGTGGGGAAGATGAGACAGAAGAACAGCATGCACATCACAAAGCTCTGGCCAGACACTGAGGCCTGTGTCAACCACCAGTCCAGTGTGCAAGAGGTGCCAAACGGCTCAGGTGCGTAGTTACCCCAGCCCACCACTGGCATGGTGGCCCAGAATGCAGCATAAGCCCAAATGAAAACCACCGAGAGGAAAGCATGATGACGCTTCAACCAAGTGCCTGATGGCAGAGTAAAGTCATCTTAGTCAAGCTAGTTTGACAGACAGACAAACAGAGATTAGTCAATCAGCTCTTGCCAGGTTACAACTTGTTTAAAAAAAAAAAAAAAAGAGAGACAGAGCAAATTAGTACAATTTCTGTCATGAAACTACATGCATGTGCAGGCTGATAGGTCACCTAATCTTATCCTTGTTCATTAACTACATTGCACAGGATATTGGTTGCTGTCACCTCAGCAGCCAATGAGCTAACTCCTCATCATTTTAAATGCTCAGTGTCGTTCTATGATGTAATGGTGCATTCACACCAGACGTGGATGACATGCCAAGCTCGAGTGATTTACATGCTACAGTAAAAGGGGTCGCACACCAGACACATGGCGTGCACATGACAGTTGGAAGTGTCGCACACCAGACACACACATTTGAATGTTATTTAAAATGAAACTATTCAGATGGCGCTCTGTGGTGCGGCATAAATATGAACAGTGTCCTGAGTCGTAGCTGCGGATAGCTGCTGACTTGTGGTGCTGTTGTGTGTACGAAGATAGAAATCTTCATTTTGAATTCTAAAATGCAGCTGGGTCAGTTGCCGTTTCTGTGTGGAGTTCGCATGTTCTCCCCGCGTTCGCGTGGGTTTCCTCCGGGTCCTTCGGTTTCCCCCACAAGTCAAAGACTTGAAGTACAGGTGAATTGTACAGGATGTTTCCTAGAGATGGGATGCAGCTGGAAGGGTCTCCGCTGCGTAAACTGAGTGGTGCATCCGGTGTGCAACCCCCTTAAGTCAATGCAAAGACGTGAATAGACATCCTGCAGCACTATTCGTGTGAATGAGGCAACGCGAATGAAGCGATTCATGCAATTAAAGCTGTGTGAATTGAGCATTTTGCACGTTTTGCACGTTTCACACGCTTAACGCATGAATTAAGCGAATCGCACGAGTTGGAAAATGAACTTTAACAGATAAATCGTATGGGCGTGATTATGACGTAGAGCCTATAGTGTGTCTCCTGAGGGGAAATCTTTCTGCCGACACTCGACAACAGCTCATCAAACTGAGCTTGGCTCAGTCAGAAACACCGCTGAAAGCTTCTATCATCCAGGTATAGTTTCTGGAGGAGTTAATTAACTCACAGAGCTGGGTGCACCTCTCAAAGGAACTAGTGGACAAATAGACACTGAAAATAAATCACAATCAAATAAATCCTAAATCACATAAAGCACAGTTAATCTCTCAATAAATGTTAGCCATTTAGCAATAAAACCAGAGTCACCGAGCAGAATTTTCACGCATCTATTTACACGAGAATATCGTAATTTATTTGCGCATGTCGCGTCTGGTGTGAACACAGCATTAGGCTACGGTGTGTTTTCAGAGACCCTCTTCCACCCTAGCTCCACCTGTGTTTAGATCTGCTATTGGGGTAATCATGATAGGTTAAATATATATTATGCAGCAGCAGGTTATATTTTTAGACGGCATGTCTGTAAATAATATGCTGGCAGTAGCAGGTCTTGGTTCTTGCTCTGCCATAATAATC